GCTGAGGACAAGGTTCCTCACGCTGCGGACAAGGTACCTCACGCTGTGGACAAGGTACCTCACACTGAGGACAAGGTACCTCACACTGAGGACAAGGTACCTCACAGTGAGGACAAGGTACCTCACACTGAGGACAAGGTTCCTCACGCTGAGGACAAGATTCCTTACGCTGAAGACAAGGTTCCTGACGCTGAGGACAAGTTTCCTCACGCTGAAGACAAGGTTCCTCACGCTGAGGACAAGGTTCCTCACGCTGAGGACAAGGTTCCTCACGCTGAGGAGAAGGTTCCTCACGCTAAGAACAATGTTCCTCACCTGTGGACAAGGTTCCTCACGCTGAGGACAAGGTACCTCACACTGAGGACAAGGTTCCTCACGCTGAGGACAAGGTTCCTCACGCTGAGGACAAGGTCCCTCAAGCTGAGGACAAGGACAAATTCGCTGAGGACAAAGGACACGCTGAGGACAAGTTCGCTCTTAGGAAGAAAGCATAAGAATGTAAATATTAATGAACTGAAAGTAAATGATGATATTATTTCTGATGATAAATCTGTTACTGAAACATTAAATGAATATTTTATAAATATTGGAATGAAGATGGCTGCTGAATCAGCATGTCAAAGCACCGATGCTTCAAATGATCAAGTAATTTATGAAAGTACTGTGCTTCTTCCTAAAGAAAATTTTCACTTCGCAGATATTACTATAGATAGTGTTTCTAAACGCCTACAAAAACTAAAGGTCTCAAAAGCGACAGGTATGGATGGAATACCTGCGAATATTTGAAAACTGACATCAACCCTTATTGCTCCATCTATAACTTTTATATTTAACCTGTCGATTAGAACTGATATTTGTATAGATGAGTGGAAATTAGCTAGAGTTATACCAATTTACAAATCTGAGGATAAGCGTAAATGCGAAGACCTCTACACTGCCTCCCGCCTCGTCACCGGCTTTGGGATGGCCAACATAGATCTCCAGTGTCACTGTCGTGCCAATGCAGAAACCCTTGAGCATCTCTTCTTTGAGTGTCGATGCGCTCGTATCTTGGTCGGCTGGGTATATTTCAACTTGATGCAGTACGACGGTTCGGCAACACCCTTCACGGTCGACGAGTTGTTGTTCGGTGTTTCTCGTGCGAGGCGTAAGCGTATGCCCCAAATCATCATCTGGATGCTCCAGGTGGTGAAACACTACCTGTGGGTTGCGCGGAACGACTTCCGCTTTCGGGATAAACGCCGCACCGAAGCGGATTGTCTGAAGGCAATCATTGCGCGTTTGAAATTTTTGCTCAAAGTGCTCGCCAGCCGCTGTCGTTCTCCTTCTCAAATTCGGTCGTTTGAGAAGCAGTGGTTGGCAAATAATACTCTCGGGCACTTTGAGGGCGAGAAGCTGGTCTTCTCATTTTAACTTATTTCCCTAGGTTAGCTAGCCTCGTCCTCGTTCTGTGAACGGGGGTCGCCTTCGTTGGTTGTACTGCCGGAATCGATTCGTTGTCTTCTTGTGCTAGCTGGCTTAGTCTTTTCTTTGCCCTTCCGTGAACGGCGGTCGCCTTCATTGGTTGTACTGCCCGGATCGGTTCGGTGTTCTTGTGTCTTCTTTTTAGCTTTTTTAAAGCTTTTTTAACCTAGCTTAGCGGTAGCTTAGCTATTTTACATTCAGAAGCGTAGCCAGATTAGATTTATGATCTAGGTCTAAATATACCATTGTGCCGCGTCAGAATAATAAAGAATGGCCGGTATATTTAGAACGGAGGTGGGGATCGTCCCCCCAGTTGTTTTCGTGCTGGTTGCGCCCTCCGAAATCCGAGGAACCCATTGCACGTCTCCCCAGTGGGAGCGGGTTTGTCGCATTTAAACATAAAACTTAAGAGGCTGTCTCCGTAAAAACCTCGAGGTTAATATGGGGCTCAAAAATAGATTGCTCTCATACTCTAGTATTTTGAAGATCTATCCTTGGGAACAACTCAAATCGATGTCATTTTACTCAAATTTTCTTTAAATTATTTTTGGGGGTGATTGATGTTCGATCGACTGGTAACCAATTTGATACTCCGAATGAAGGCCAAATGTCGACATATTTTCGGCGCTATTTTTCAAATCAAATTCATACCTAAATTTCAAAATTTTTGCTCAGAAATATAGACTTATACTTCTATTCTCGTCGGTGATACAACTTAGATCATTATTCTTTGGTATAAAATAGAAAACAGCGCAGTTATTGACCCTCCCGAACGGATAAAGGATATCGTCTCAAAATATGTCAACTTCGAAAGCTTATTTCAAAATCGTGGCACTTGGTTGGCACATGACTTTAACTTTTCTATAAACTACTAACATTAGTCAACACAAATCGCCAATAATATCTTTCTGCTCTACCATTTGACAAAAATGACAAGCGCGCAAACTTTGTAAAATTTGAAAATGTGTCGAAATCGAGCATACTTTATTGGTAAACATAATTATTGATATTAACAGATAAAATCACCTTACACTACAGTACACTACACTGAATGAAGCTTCATTATGTAAATACATGTCTTTCATCATTATTCTTTGGTTTGGCGCTTGAATCAAATTGTTTGAGTACAGTTTGGCTTCACGGATAGAGTCATTCAATGCCGGCCAGTGTGTCCAGTGCCTTCTGCGCGCCTCAATGCCACGAGTCCTGATTGTGACATACTATACAATCTTCGCCCTGTTCGCTTTGTTTACCTCTTTAACAAATACATGTTTAACAAATAACAATACTCGATGAAACTGGAAAACTCAGAATTAGTCATACTACAGATAGAATGTTCATCGTTTTTAAACTGTTTTATAAAAGTTTCATTAGAATGTACGAATTAAATCTCGGGGAAAACCCCGGGCAATGATGTCAAATGTCAATATTTCGTTAGTTTCGCTCAGTATAGTTTTCTAGGAACTGAATTGTCTCTAGGTTTAGAAACAATTATCAATGAAACTAGAATTCAAGTAAGTCACGGCTCTGTATAAAAAAATCAACTTTTTCAGGCCGACCCTGGGTCACTTTGCTCAACGCTATGCTTCAAGAATTTACATTATTTCTTATTGTATAAAAATATGCGAATATTTTGATATAATACAAAACAATTCAGCGCAAACAGCTGTAACCCATTTGAACGTCTCAGTTATTTAATCAATGTTATTCCTTTTTTCAGTAACAATTAGAAAGGTTCTGAAAATTAGAATTAATTTATATTCTTCTTTCCGACAAGCTTTAAAGGGTGACAAATTTGCAAGTGATAACTAATGTCATTCTTACACGCCAGCAACTTCGAAGAACAGTCTACTGTTCTCGGAATTTTCCACACTCAGAAGTAGAAAAGGAACATTTCTACATTATTGTTTACCGTCATTCTCATCTGTCAACATAAAATCTACTGTCTGTCGAAATCGTTTAAGGCCCTGTCACACTATTGAGTATCGTACTAGCGTATGCCAGCGTATGAAAAATATCACTCATACGCCGGTATACGCTGACATACGCTAGGGGTACGCTAGGCATAGGTTGTATACGTTTCAAGCACGGTCGCATACGGTGGCATACGGCGAGGCAGAAATTTTTTTTAAACATGTTCAAAAATTTTGTGCGTATTGGACTATGCTTTATACGATAAGCATACTCTAGGCACACGCTCAATACGCTAGAGGTACGCCAGATGTACGGTACTCATACGCTGGCATTGCAAAGGATTTTTGTGCGTATGAAAATATATTTCATTGATTTTCATACGCTTCTCATACGTTTCTCTCATACGCATATTAGTGTGACAGGGCCTTTAGGTTTACCTAAAGGCCCTGTCACACTATTACGTATCGTACTAGCGTATGCCAGCGTATGAAAAATATCACTCATACGCCGGTATACGCTGATATACGCTAGGGGTACGCTAGGCATAGGTTATATACGTTTCAAGCACGGTCGCATACGGTTGCATGCATACGCTGGCATACGCCGAGGCAGAAATTTTTTTTTAAGCATGTTCAAAAATTTTGTGCGTATTGGACGTATGCTTTATAAGATAAGCATACTTTAGGCACACGCTGAATACGCTAGAGGTACGCCAGATGTACGGTACTCATACGCTGGCATTTCAAAGGATTTTTGTGCGTATGAAAATGATTTCATTAATTTTCATACGGTTCTCATACGTTTCTCTCATACACAACAGTGTGACAGGGCCTTAACGTTGCATGATCACAAATTGCGGCTGTAGTAGAAGTAGAACACCATTATTGTAAACACAAAAACCTCGTGCAATACTGTCTAAGACTACTATTTAATTCAATACAAAGAAAGGGAAATCAGAGAGCAACGAAACATTTCATCGTCATTTGATTGACATGTTTACGCTCAGCGAGTACATTTCTTTCGGTTAGGAGTTTTCCCCGAGATTAATTCGTACATTCTATAAAACGAAACTTTATATAACAGTTTAAGGTAAACAAACCAATGAAAGTTATGTCTGTAGTATGACTAATTCTGAATTTTCGAATTTCTTTGAGACATTTTATTTACAGGAGGTAAACAAAGCGAACAGAGCGAAGTTCGTATGTCACAATCAGGACTGATGCCGTCATGGCATTGAGGCGCGCAGAATTCGAACACACTGCAGGACACACTGGCATTGAATGACTATCCTTGAAGCCAAACTGTACAGTCAAACAATTTCATTCGAGTGCAAAACCAAAGAATAATGATGAAAGACATATATTTACATAATCAAGCTTCATTCAGTGTAGTGTAAGGTGGTTTTATTTGTTAATATCAAGAATTATGTTTACCGATAAAGTATGCTCGATTTCGACACATTTTCAAATTTTACAAAGTTTGCGCGCTTGTCATTTTTGTCAAATGGTAGAACAGAAAGATATTATTGGCGATTTGTGTTGACTAATGTTAGTAGTTTATAGAAAAGTTAAAGTCATGTGCCAATCAAGTGCCACGATTTTGAAATAAGCTTTCGAAGTTGACATATTTTGAGACGATATCCTTTATCCGTTCAGGAGGGTCAATAACTGCGCTGTTTTCTATTTTATACCAAAGAATAATGATCTAAGTCATATCACCCGCGAAAATAGAAGGATAAGTCTATATTTATGAGCAAAAATTTTGAAATTTAGGTATGAATTTGATTTAAAAAATAGCGCTGAAAATATGTCGATATTTGGCCTTCATTCGGAGTATGAAGTTGGTTACCAGTCGATCGAACATCAATCGCCCCCCAAAATAATTTAAAGGAAATTTGAGTAAAATGACATCGATTTTAGTTGTTCCCAAGGATAGATCTTCAAAATACTAGAGTATGAGAGAAATCTATTTTTGAGCCCCATACTGACCTGGAGGTTTTTACGGAGACAGCCTCTTAAGGAATAGAAAGCAAGTGTGTTCTGTTAATGATCAAACTTCTTCTGCAAGAACAATAATATGCGGAATTCCGCAAGGATCCATGCTTGGTCCATTATTGTTTTTGCTATATATTAATGATATGCCTGACATTTTAGAAAGGACAACCCCATGTCTTTATGCCGACGACACTCAGATATCTTCCTCTTCGCATGATTACGATACATTGATTGACAATTTGAATATGGACCTTTCCAATATTCATAAATGGCTTGCTAAAAACAAACTAAAATATCATAGGAAAAAAAACAAAGGTCATGTTTATTGGATCTACGCATAATCTAAATCATAAAATAGGAAATAGACCCGTTGAGATTAACAAAATCCCAGTCCCACAAACCAATAAATTTAAATGTCTAGGTGTAAATCTAGATGAAAAATTAAGTTGGGAGAAACATATTGATTCTGTATGCCATAAGATTAGCGCTGGAATAGGAGCAATTAAAAGAATAAAACCTTATGTTCCACACAAAACCTTACATGATGTCTACAAAACATTAATTCAGCCTCATTTCGATTACTGTTCTCCCCTGTGGGATAACTGTGGTTTGGGACTTCAAGACAAATTGCAAAAATTCCAAAATAGAGCAGCAAGGGTGATTACCGGAGTTGACTACGATGTAAGATCGTCTGAAGTCCTAAACAAATTAGGCTGGGAAACCCTGGCTAGGAGACGAGAACAAAACAAGCTAGTATTGATGTATAAAGTCTTGGGGAACCACACTGCGCCAAACCTTAAAGATCTTTTTTCTCGGAGAAATGCATCGCAGAATATTTATGATTTACGCAATAGCGAAACTGATCTCTCGTTAAAAAAAACGAAAACGAAATTTCTAAAGAAAACATTTGGATACAGTGGAGCAATTCTATGGAATAGTCTCCCGCAAGATGTCAAGGCGGCTGAGTCAATTACGTCATTTAAAACAATGGCGAAATTGCATTTAAACAGATGATAAGCTAATGTCTCCAGGACCAAATGATGGGAGGACAATATAGATTGTGGGCGGGAGGGGGGTTAGTTTTGCGTGAGGGTGGGTGGGTACTTGTTTAGGGGGTGGAGGTTTGGGATGAAGATGATAAAATTTTAGGGTGGGATTCGTTCATATTTTGTTCTATATATAATTAACATTTAGCTCTTTGTGTGTATACGCCCTTCGTGGAAACCAGTTGTAAATAATTGTCGAAGTTAGCGTATTGAAATAAAGTTTTACATTACATTACAAGGTTGCTCACGCTGAGGACAAGGTTCCTCACGCTGAGGACAAGATTCCTCACGCTGAGGACAAGGTTCCTCACCCTGAGGACAAGGTTCCTCATGGTGAGGACACGGTTCCTTATGCTGAGGACAAGGTTCCTCACGCTGAGGACAAGGTTCCTCAGGCTGTGGACAAGGTCCCTCAAGCTGAGGACAAGGTTGATCACGCTGAGGACAAGGTTCCTCACGCTGAGGATAAGGTTCCTCACGCTGAGGACAAGGTTCCTCACGCTGAGGACTAGGTTCCTCAAGCTGAGGAGAAGGTACCTCACGCTGAGGACAACATTCCTCACGCAGAGGACAAGGTTTCTCACGGTGAGGACAAGGTACCTCACCATGAGGACAAGGTTCCTCATGCTGAGGACAAGGTTACTCACGCTGAGGACAAGGTTCCTCACGCTGAGGACAAGGTTCATCAAGCTGAGGAAAAGGTTCCTCACGCTGAGGACAAGGTTCCTCACGCTGCGGACAAGGTACCTCACACTGAGGACAAGGTTCCTCACACTGAGGACAAGGTTCCTCACTCTGAGGACAGGGTTCTTCACGCTGAGGACAAGGTACCTCACACTGAGGACAAGGTTCCTCACGCTGAGGACAAGGTTCCTCACGCTGAGGACAAGGTTCCTCACGCTGAGGACTAGGTTCCTCAAGCTGAGGACAAGGCACCTAACGCTGAGGACAAGATTCCTCACGCAGAGGACAAGGTTTCTCACGGTGAGGACAAGGTACCTCACAATGAGGACCAGTTTCCTCATGCTGAGGACAAGGTTACTCACGCTGAGGACAAGGTTCCTCACGATGAGGACAAGGTTCATCAAGCTGAGGAAAAGGTTCCTCACACTGAGGACAAGGTTCCTCACTCTGAGGACAGGGTTCCTCACGCTGAGGACAAGATACCTCACAATGAGGACAAGGTTCCTCACTCTGAGGACAGGGTTCTTCACGCTGAGGACAAGGTATCTCACTGAGGACAAGGTTCCTCACGCTGAGGACAAGGTTCCTCACGCTGAGGACAAGGTTCCTCACGCTGAGGACTACGTTCCTCAAGCTGAGGACAAGGTACCTCACAATGAGGACAAGATTCCTTCCGCAGAGGACAAGGTTTCTCAAGGTGAGGACAAGGTACCTCACCATGAGGACAAGGTTCCTCATGCTGAGGACAAGGTTACTCACGCTGAGGACAAGGTTCCTCACGCTGAGGACAAGGTTCCTCACGTTGCGGACAAGGTACCTCACACTGAGGACAAGGTTCCTCACAATGAGGACAAGGTTCCTCACTCTGAGGACAGGGTTCCTCACGCTGAGGGCAAGGTAACTCACACTGAGGACAAGGTTCCTCACGCTGAGGACAAGGTTCCTCACGGTGAGGACAAGGTTCCTCATGCAGAGAACAAGGTTCCTCACGCTGAGGACAAGGTCCCTCAAGCTGAGGTCAAGGTTCCTCACGCTGAGGACAAGGTTCCCCACGCTGTGGACAAGGTTCGTCACGCTGAGGACAAGGTTTCTCACGCTGAGGACAAGGTTCCTCACGCTGAGGACAAGATTCTTCACGCTGTGGACAAGGTTCCTCACGCTGAGGACAAGCTTCCTCAAGCTGAGGACAAGGTTCCTCACGCTGAGGACAAGCTTCCTCACGCTGCGGACAAGGTACCTCACGCTGAGGACAAGGTTCCTCACGCTGTGGACAAGGTTCCTCACGCTGAGGACAAGGTACCTCACACTGAGGATAAGGTTCCTCACACTGACGACAATGTACCTCACAGTGAGGACAAGGTACCTCACACTGAGGACAAGGTACATCACACTGAGGACAAGGTTCCTCATGCTGAGGACATGGTACCTCATACTGAGGACAAGGTTCCTCACACTGAGGACAAGGTACCTCACACTGAGGACAAGGTACCACACACTGAGGACAAGGTTCCTCACGCTGTGGACAAGGTTCCTCACGCTGAGGACAAGGTTCCTCAACCTGAGGACAAGGTTCCTCAAGCTGAGGAAAAGTTCCTTACGCTGAGGACAAGGTTCCTCACGCTGCGGACAAGGTACCTCACAATGAGGACAAGGTTCCTCACACAGAGGACGAGGTTCCTCACGCTGCGGCCAAGGTACCTCACGCTGTGGACAAGGTACCTCACACTGAGGACAAGGTACCTCACACTGAGGACAAGGTACCTCACAGTGAGGACAAGGTACCTCACCCTGAGGACAAGGTTCCTCACGCTCAGGACAAGGTATCTCACACTGAGTACAAGGTTCCTCACTCTGAGGACAAGATTCCTCACGCTGAAGACAAGGTTCCTCACGCTGAGGACAAGGTACCTCACACTGAGGGCAAGGTTTCTCAAGCTGAGAACAACGTCCCTAACCCTCAGAACAAGGTTCCTGGCGGTGAGGACAAGGTTCCTCAAGCTGTGGACAAGGTTCCTCACGTTGAGGACAAGGTTCCTCACGCTGAGGACAAGGTCCCTCAAACTGGGGACAAGGTTCCTCACGCTGAGTACAAGGTTCCTCACGCTAAGGACAAGATTCAGCACGTTGCGGACAAGGTACCTCGGGCTGCGCACAAGGTTGCTCACGCTGAGCACAAGGTACCTCACACTGTGGACAATGTCCCTCAAACTGAGGACAAGGTTCCTCACGATGAGGACAAGGTACCTCACACTCAGGACAAGGAACCTCACACTGAGGACAAGGTACCTCACACTGAGGACGAGGTTCCTCATGCTGAGAACATGGTACCTCACACTGAGGACAAGGTTCCTCACGCTGAGGACAAGGTTCTTCACGCTGAGGACAAGGTTCCTCACGCTGAGGACAAGGTTCCTCACGCTGAGGACAAGTTTCCTCACGCTGCGGACAAGGTACATCACGCTGAGGACAAGGTTCCTCACGCTGAGGACAAGGTACCTCACACGTAGGACAAGGTTCTCACCCTGAGGACAAGGTTACTCACGCTGAAGACAGGGTTCCTCACGCTGAGGACAAGGTTCATCACGCTGAGGACAAGGTTCCTCACGCTGGAGACAAAGTTCCTCACGCTGAGGACAAGGTTCCTCACGCTGAGGACAAGGTTCCTCACGCTGAGGACAAGGTTCCTCACGCTGTGGACAAGGTTCCTCACGCTGTGGACAAGGTTCCTCACGCTGAGGACAAGGTACCTCACGCTGAGGACAAGGTTACTCACATTGAGGACAAGGTTCTTCACGCTGTGGACAGGGTTCGTCACGCTGAGGACAAGGTTCCTGACGCTGAGGACAAGGTACCTCACGCTGAGGACAAAGTTCCTCACATTGAGGACAAGGTTCTTCACGCTGTGGACAGGGTTCGTCACGCTGAGGACAAGGTTCCTCACGCTGAGGACAAGGTTCCTCACGCTGGAGACAAAGTTCCTCACGCTGAGGACAAGGTTCCTCACGCTGAGGACAAGGTTCCTCACGCTGAGGACAATGTTCCTCACGCTGGGGACAAAGTTCTTCACGCTGAGGACAAGGTTCCTCACGCTGAGGACAAGGTTCCTCACGCTGAGGACAAGGTTCCACACGCTGTGGACAAGGTTCCTCATGCTGCGGACAAGGTTCCTCACACTGAGGACAAGGTTCGTCACGCTGTGGACAGGGTTCGTCACGCTGAGGACAAGGTTCCTCACGCTGAGGACAAGGTTGCTCAGGCTGGAGACAAAGTTCCTCACCCTGAGGACAAGGTTCCTCACGCTGAAGACAAGGTTCCTCACGCTGAGGAGAAGGTTCCTCTCGCTGAGGACAAGGTTCCTCACGCTGAGAACAAGGTTCCTCACGCTGAGGACAAGGTTCCTCACCCTGAGGACAAGGTTCCTCACGCTGAGGACGAGGTTCCTCACGCTGAGGACAAAGTTCCTCACGCTGGAGACAAAGTTCCTCACGCTGAGGACAAGGTTCCTCACGATGAGGATAAGGTTCCTCACGCTGAGGACAAGGTTTCACACGCTGAGGACAAGGTTTCACACGCTGTGGACAAGGTTCCTCACGCTGAGGACAAGGTACCTCACACTGAGGACAAGGTTCCTCGCACTGAGGTCAAGGTTCCTCACGCTGAAGATAGGGTTCCTCACCCTGAGGACAAGGTTCCTCACGCTGAGAACAAGGTTCCTCACTCTGAGGACAAGGTTTCTCACGCTGTGGACAAGGTTCCTCACGCTGAGGACAAGGTTCCTCACGCCGAGCACAAGGTTCTTCACGTTGAGGACAAGGTTCTTTACGCTGTGGAGAAGGTTCCTCACGCTGAGGACAAGGTTCCTCACGCTGAGGACAAGGTTCGTCACGCTGGCGACAAGGTACCTCACACTGAGGAAAAGGTTTCTCACGCTGAGGACGAGTTTTCTCACGCTGAGGACTTGTCCTCAGGGTGAGGAACCTTGTCCTCATTGTGAGGTACCTTGTCCTTTGTGTGGGGAACCTTCGTTCCCCACGCTGAGGACGAGGTTCCTGAAGCTGAGGATAAGGTTACTCACGCTGAGGACAAGGTTCTTCATGCTGAGGACAAGGTTCCTCATGCTGAGGACATGGTACCTCACACTGAGGACAAGGTTCCTCACGCTGAGGACAAGGTTCCTCGCGCTGAGGACAAGGTTCCTCACGCTGAGGACAGGCGTCCTCACGCTGAGGACAAGGTTGCTCACGGTGAGGACGAGGTTCCTCACGCTGAGGACAAGGTTAAGACTGGGTCTCTAAATATGCACCAAGCATACAAAAAAGCTAGGAACGAGGTAACTAAAAATATTAAACAGGCCAAAGCCAAACACTTCATACACTGTTTTGAAACAACCACCAAAAACCCACAAGAGATGTGGAAAACTATTAATAAATGGATTAACAAGAAATCAAAAACAACAACTATTTCCGAAATTAAAACTGACAATGGAAGTGTTACCGATGCTAAAGAAATTACAAATGTCTTAAATGACTATTTTTGCAACATAGGTTCAAATCTGGCAGAAAACTTAGAAAGGACACCAATTCAACCATCTAGTTATATTGATCAGAGTGAAACTGAATTTAAGCTGCACTCTGTAACTGAAAATGAAGTTTATAAATATCTTTCCAATGTTAAACCAACTAAATCGACTGGTTATGACCAAATACCACCAAAATTAATTAAAGATGCGGCTGGAGTAATCAGTAGATCACTAACAAAAATTTTTAACGAATCTATTGTATCTGGAATTTTTCCTGATGATCTAAAAATAGCGGTGCTGTCGCCAATCTTTAAGAAAGATGATAGGTCCTGTTGTGGTAACTATAGACCAATTTCAGTACTATCAGTTATAGCGAAAGTTTTGGAGAAAATTGCATTTGATCAATTGTGTAGTTATCTTCATGGTAACAGCATAATTGCAAATCAGCAATCAGGCTTTAGGAAAAATCATTCAACCGAAACGTCCTTACTTACAGTTACAAATAGATGGTATTGCAATATGGACAATGGACTTCTGAACGGCGTTTTATTTCTGGATTTAAAAAAGGCATTTGATTGTGTAGATCATCAAATCTTACTAAACAAATTAGCAATGTATGGAATTCGTGGTATAACATTAAATTGGTTTAAGTCGTATCTCTCCAATAGAAAGCAAACTTGCAAAGCTAACAACATATTTTCAGAAATGAAACCAATTAAAACTGGTGTGCCGCAAGGCTCCAATTTAGTCCCCCTGCTATTTATTATCTATGTCAACGACTTACCTAATTGTCTAGACAGTGCTAGTGCAAGCATGTTTGCCGATGATACAAATATAACAGCAACCGGTCAGACAGTACAACAACTCCAAAGTAATTTGAATAACAATTTAGAAAAAGTACACCACTGGCTTCTCGCAAATAAATTAACTCTTAGTTACAATAAAACAGAGTACATGATTATTGGTTCAAGACAAAAAATACTAAACATTCAAGAAGAACCAATAATAAGCATAGGTAATGAACCTGTAAAGAAAATTAATAAATGCAAAACACTTGGAGTTATAATCGATGACAAATTAATGTGGAAAGACCATATAAATGAAATCAATGCTAAAGTTTCGAAAGGTTTAGGAATAATGAGAAGGATCAAATCGCTTGTAACCCAGTCTGTCTTGCAAACTATATACAACAGCTTAATACTCCCATATTTCGATTACTGTAGCATGGTATGGGATAATGCAGCTAACTATAACATACAGAAACTACAAAAAATGCAAAATAGAGCGGCTAGAATTTTAACAGGAAGCGGTTACGATGCTCCTTCAAAGGAGTTACTGCGCCAACTCAACTGGGAAACGTTGGAAGAGCGCAGACGTAACAAAAAAGCATTATTAATGTACAAGGTCAAAAATGGAATCGCACCTGATTCAATAGGAAATTTGTTTAATATTTGTGATAATCAAAATTACTCTTTAAGAAGCAATTTAAACAACTTTACGTTAGATAAGCCAAATACAAATTTCTTGAAAAAAGCATTAGTTACTCTGGTGCAAAATGTTGGAATGATCTCACAAATGATCTTAAGAGTAAGTCAATGGGCATAAAGAGGTTTAGAGCTATTGTTGGGGGCGCAGATTAGTTTCCATATGATATTTTGAAATCATTAAAATATTCTAGTAAATAGTTATTATAGTAATTAGTAGTAGTTTGTAGTTTAAGTTTCTTTTGTATGTATATATATATATGTACCGGGTGTCCCAAAAAAAAGTACTCCGGTTTGATTTATAATAACTTCTAAACAAGTATAGCTATGAAACAGAAATAACATGCATTAAATAGAGGAAGGACTAACTTAGATTTTGATATATTACAGTTGTATTTTACTTAAAAATTCACGGAGATATTAATGTTCAAAATCGGGAGCATATTTTGGGATGTGTCTAAAATTAGCGAAAATCAGCATATCAAATATTAACTCCAGCGTTTGTTTGCTTATTGACATATCTGGCTAACTGGTATTTCAGCGAATTGTCGTTAGGGTTTGTAAGGGATATATGGCGTAGATTTAGACATCTTACATGTAATTCTTAGCTCATTGTTTCCTGAAACATGGACGTTCAAAATTATGAAAGTATATTTAATAGGTCTTTGGCTTTGCAAACTTAAAGTTACATGAAAGACCTTGAAGGCAGGCGCTTAAATTTTTCTTAAATAGCCTAATTTTTTTATGTTTTACATGGGTTCAAAACAAAGTTGATTATTTCTCGGTTAGAGCAGGATGAATATTATTATTTAATGAAGGAAATGATATTGCTTTTTGCAAATACACATCACAGTGTCAACACTACTATTTTGTTACGTTTTGTTCCAAAAATGTTGGATGTCTCTGGGGAATTGCTTGTTATGCCTTTAATTATGGAGTTGTATGGTTTGATCGTGTTTCATTCTCAGTTTATTCTGAACTTGCCAAGATTAAAAAAGGCAAAAGAGTTTGGGTGTTCTTAACAAGATTTCAGAACGTTGAAGAAGTTAGAAAATTCATTCAATGTGAAGTTAGAAAATCCACAATTCCATTGTGACAGCATGCCCTAATTCAGAACTACGAACGATCCATGACGATCCTTCGCGATGCAGTGCTCTCATGAAATAAGGAAACGTATTCGTGCTGGGAACACATGCGGATTTCCGACGAATAAGTCTTGCTTTTATTTTGTAGATAATAATACTTTGTTTCATAATAAACGATTTGTCAAGTGCCATTTATTTACTGGTAATAATGCATGTTTCAGTCGGGCAAATCTTGATTAATATTTGATACGCCGTTTTTGCATATTTCAGACACATCCAGAAATATGCTCCCGATTTTAAACATTAATATCTCTGTGAATTTTTAAGTGAAATACAACTGTGATATATCAAAATCTAAGTTAGTCCTTCCTCTATTTGATGCAAGTTAATTCTCATTAAAAGCTTTACTTGTTTAGAAGTTATTACGAATCAAACCGGAGTACTTTTTTTTGGGACACCCGGTATATGTATGTGTATATGTGTGTATGTGTATATATATATATATATATATATATATATATATATATATATATATATGTATGTATGTATATATATGTATATGTATATGTGGATGTATGTGTATGTATATATGTATATACGTGTGAACGCCCCCTTGTGTGAACGGCCCTTTGGAAAACAGTTTTTAACTATAACTGATAGGGCTACCGTTGTTAAATATTTTTAAATAAATAATAAAATAAAGGTACCTAACACTGAGGACAAGGTTCCTCAAGCTGAGGTCAACGTCCCTCACCCTGAGCACAAGGTTCCTGGCGGTGAGGACAAGGTTCCTCGCGCTGTGGACAAGGTACCTCACGCTGAGGACAAGGTTCCTCACGCTGAGAACAAGGTTCCTCACACTGAGGACAAGATTCCTCACGCTGAGGACAAGGTTCCTCACGCTGAGGACAAGGTTCCTCACGCTTTGGACAAGGTTCCTCACGCTTTGGACAAGGTTCCTCACGCTGACGACAAGGTACCTCACACTGAGGACAAGGTACCTCACACTGAGGACAAGGTACCTCACAGTGAGGACAAGGTTCCTCACGCTGTGGACAAGGTACATCAAACTGAGGACAAGGTTCCTCACACTGAGGACAAGATTCCTCACGCTGAGGACAAGGTAACTTACGCTCAGGACAAGGTTCCTCACGCTGACGACAAGGTACCTCACACTGAGGACAAGGTACCTCACACTAAGGACAGGCACCTCACACTGAGGACAAGGTTCCTCACGCTGTGGACAAGGTACATCAAACTGAGGACAAGGTTCCTCACACTGAGGAGAAGATTCCTCAGGCTGAGGACAAGGTACCTTACGCTGAGGACAAGGTACCTCACACTGAGGACAAGGTGCCTCACACTAAGGAAAAGGTTCCATACGCTGAGCACAAGGTTCGTCAAGCGGAGGACGAGGTACCTCACACAGAGGACAAGGTACCTCACACTGAGGACAAGGTTCCTCACCCGTAGAACAAGGTTCCTCATGGTGAGGACACGGTTCCTTATGCTGAGGACAAGGTTTCTCACGCTGAGGACAAGGTTCGTCACGCTGAGGACAAGGTACCCCACCCTGTGGACAAGGTACCTCACACTGGGGACAAGGTACCTCACACTGAGGACAAGGTACCTCACAGTGAGGACAAGGTAGCTCACACTGAGGACAAGGCTCCTCACGCTGTGGACAAGGTACCTCACACTAAGGCAAAGGTTCCATATGATGAGGACAAGGTTCGTTAAGCTGAGGACAAGGTTCCTCACACTGAGGACAAGGTTCCTCACGCTGAGGACAAGGTTCCTCACGCTGAGGACAAGGTACCTCACACAGAGGACAAGGTACCTCACACTGAGGACAAGGTTCCTCACCCTGAAGACAAGGTTCCTCATGGTGAGGACACGGTTCCTTGTGCTGAGGACAAGGTTCCTCACGCTGAGGACAAGGCTCCTCACTCTGAGGACAAGGTCCCTCAAGCTGAGGACAAGGTACCTCACACGGAGGACAAGGTACCTCACACGGAAGACAAGTTTCCTCACCCTGAGGACAAGGTTCCTCATGGTGAGGACACGGTTCCTTATGCTGAGCACAAGGTTCCTCACGCTGAGGACAAGATTCCTCACGCTGCGGACAAGGTACCTCACGCTGTGGACAAGGTACCTCACACTGAGGACAAGGTACCTCACACTGAGGACAAGGTTCCTCACGCTGAGGACAAGGTACTTCACACTGAGGACAAGGTACCTCACACTAAGGAAAAGGTTCCATATGATGAGGACAAGGTTCGTCAAGCTGAGGACAAGGTTCCTCACACTGAGGACAAGGTTCCTCACGCTGACGACAAGGTACCGCTCACTGAGGACAAGGTACCTCACACTGAGGACAAGGTACTCACACTGAGGACAAGGTTCCTCACCCTGTGGACAAGGTACATCAAACTGAGGACAAGGTTCCTCACACTGAGGAGAAGATTCCTCACGCTGAGGACAAG